GGCGCTGCAGCTGCCAGTGTTGTCGTATGGGAATGGGTGGAAAGGATTGAAGCCTTGGAACGTGAGGAGAAGAAGGACGGTATTCTCGGCCGAGAGGTCTTCGACGGAGACGATACTCTCGAGATCAACGCATCTGAATTCCCGTGGCTTCGCAATCGTAAAAGCAAAAAAGGCGGCAGTTCAGGTGGTGGTAGCGATGGAGATCGACCGCAGATGTCTGCGACTTCTGCCAACGGCTGGCCGACCGTCTCTTCTATTACTAACAGATATCGCGGTCAGAACAATGGGGCATTTGTCGAAACGTTTGATCAAGCCTCAGAAAGAGGAACAGCGAGGGGCTTGCGACCTACGATATGGCCGGCTCGACCAGCGCCTGCTGCTACGCCCATTAGTCGTGCAGATACGGCCAGTGCTGCGAGTACAGTTTATGCTGTCAGATACCAGGCACCCTCAGAGACAACTTCACGAACCCCCGACCCTCTGCCACAACCGAGTGTCGTTGACCTGAGTCAGCAAAGCAGCACGCCTCCAAGCCAACAACTGAACGACGAGTCCAGCTCTTCCAATCAGGCCCCAGCCTCTCTACAAAACAGCATTGTTATGGCACCCACGTCACAACAGCATGTGGATTTAGAAGCAAACTCACCAAATTCACCAGGTCGAGGTGGCTGGCGAAATCTTACTTTTGCCAACTCGACATTTAATCGTCCAACCGAGGATACATCAACGGATGTGGCTCAACGCTCTGACGGCAATGTAGCGGTTGCGCGTGAAGGACGGGCAAACAGTTCCGGCCGATGGGATCTCAAGGGTCGCTTGGAGGACTTCGCGGCAAACCAAGCCGAGAAACTACGAGATCGCATGCGAACAACGCCCAACACTGAGAGCCTCCCCGTAACGGTCATACCGGCTCCTCCCCGAAGAGGAGCCGCGCTGCAACAGGTTTTGGAGGAGGAGGAGCTCAACACTACAGACCGGCAATCACCGCAGTCGCCAAGTAGGCGCCCCTTTGGAAACCACAACAATAGCACAATCAGTCAGAGCAGCGCGTCGAGGGATGTGTCAGGGGAAGTGTCACGTTTGGACAGGAGCCGAAGCACATCATCGGGCAGTCCAGGGGATGGGCCTATCCCGCCTAACAACCCACCACTATGGCGGGGCGTCCGTGCCAGACCGACCAACGAAGGGGATTTCTACGATGATTCTGACGGTGGTTCGTTGTCGGATAGGTCCTCATTGGATCACCCGAGACAAGACTCAGATTCGCCGGGACCTCGCCGAGCAGCCTGAACTTTTGTGTGCTGATAACTGTGCATCAAGCAAGGCGTTGCTTTCTGTTGATTTAAAAGAAACTGGTGTTAAAATGGGCATTGGGATGGTTTGTATGAATGATACCCCTGGGATGAATGCATCATTCCTCACATGTATATATATATATAACTATACGGGAGGGAATTACAAATATGACGGCCATATTAAGAGCCTTGTGTATATTGCATGGGCTTAGGCGTCAAGCAAGAATTATGGCGTTATATGGATTGAACTGGATGAGTGGATAAGCTCTTGTACTCAGAATTACTTGGCAACGACTTATATAGGATTCAATGATATGATATGGCAATTAGAAACAACAGCACCGAAACAAGACAGATCGTAATTGTTTCAGTACAACGTGACTTATATAGTAGATTTTTTTCCGAAATGAGAACTGGCAATGCATACAATAAGGACTACACAAGGGTTACATTATTGACGGCGGTCGAAAGTAGATTTCGGCATGACGTATTGGCGCATGTCAGGTGCCATGATAGTGAACATGTGCCAGAGCGAAAAACAATAGTTCTCGGTACGTTCGGATGATGAAAGTCAAAGGCGCGCATGAATTAGCAAGGATAATGTCATGGATTATGTTAGTATAAAGAAGAAGATAGCCAAGTTTGTTCTTACAAATGACCTTTCAACCCAGCAGCTCCTTGGAGATGAATATTGAAATGTAGACAAATACCCCTGAAGTCAAAGTTGACAGGCCTAAAAACCCTTGGATAATCTTAATCTTGGAGCCCGCGGACGCCTTTGGTGTTCCACATTGTGGAGATCCCCTTGTTTTCTAGAGGGTCTGTAGAAGCATTGACACGATGATTTGGAAGACGTTTGGAGAAACAGAAACTGTAAAGTCTAAAAGGACAAGCTTAAACTTTTATACGAAGAATTCATATATATAGAGTACTATTGATCTTGATGATTTCTGTATAGAAACAGTTTCTTTGACCGACTCACAGTGCTCAAGCCATCATGGCAATGGAACCCAGATGGAAGGAAGGCACCATGGATGCAACCCAGCCAAGCCAATCATCAAATCCTTTCCCGCCTCAGCTTACCCACCTAAAAATCTCCCCTCCACTAACATGTCCCTCTAATACAACTTGTCTACCAGGCGACGATCCCGCACAATCCGCAACTTGACTCTCCATTTCTTCTTTTTTCTAGCCAACTGGCTGCCTCTCCTTCTTCATTACCAAAGCAAGACAGGGGAGAAGAGAGACACGAGTCACGCAAAAGTCACGTTCCTTTTCTTTATATATTGATTCACCCTGCGACTGAAGCTATCCTTCCTCCTTTGCGCTACTCATTCCGAAAATAGGAGTGCAAACATCTACCACCACAAAGCAAGACACATTTGTGACCTCTACGCCTCGAAACGTACCGCGCGATAGACGAGAATGTCGGGCTCAGAACCATTCCCGCTGTTGAACACAGCAAACGATCAGCTGCATCAGCGTCATCAAGCAACTTCGTCCGCGTCGGTCAGCAACACCACGGCCACCCAGGACGCTATCAACAACGCCCGAAAGCGACGTAAGAGCAGCGCTTTGGGCGGCGAGATCCGAGGCGACACAGGTGCTCCGGCATTCGCTTCCAGTCGTGCCAGTCTCGATGCTGCTGTATGTCTCTGCCCTGTCCAATGTCCACTCGCTTTATATTTTTTATTATTATTTTTTTTTTAGCTAACACATGTCTGATACAGTCAGATGGTCGAAAGCGCCTTTCGAAAAGACGCCGTGCTCGCGGCCTGATCGCCCGGGCCAAACAAACCATGATCAAGCATACTTGGGCCCTACCTGCCATCCTCCTCGCCATTTTCCTCGTCGGATATGCCGTTAACCCTACCGAATCCAACCCAATTCACCACTTTATCTTCCTGTCCTACAAGCTGCCACAAGATGACTTGAATGCGCCAACTCAGTACGGAAAGGGTCGCTGGGATCTCGCCTTTGTCAGTTTTTATACAGTCGTCCTGTCTTTCACTCGCGAGTTCATCATGCAGGAGCTCCTTTCGCCTTTGGCCCGTTACTATGGTCTCACTCGTGGCAAGAAGGCTCGTTTCATGGAACAGGTCTACACTGCTATTTACTTCGGCGTCCTTGGACCCGTTGGTCTCTGGGTTATGAGCCACACTCCCGTGTGGTACTTCAACACCTACGGCATGTACGAGAGCTTTCCTCACCTGACTAACCTGGCACCTGTTAAGTTCTACTACCTTTTCCAGGCCGCCTACTGGTCCCAGCAAGCCATTGTTCTTCTTCTGGGAATGGAGAAGCCTCGCAAGGACTTCAAGGAACTCGTTGGTCATCACATCGTTACTCTTGGACTCATTGCCCTTAGCTATCGCTTCCACTTCACTTATATCGGTCTGGCCGTCTACACCACCCATGATATCAGTGACTTCTTCTTGGCCACATCCAAGACACTCAACTATATCGACTCTCCCCTCGTAGGCCCTTACTTTGGAGTTTTCATGATGGCCTGGATCTACCTGCGCCACTACCTCAACCTCAAGATTATCTGGTCCCTCTTCACTGAATTTGAGACTGTCGGACCTTTTGAGCTGAACTGGGAAACCCAGCAGTACAAGTGCCGTATCGCCCAGGTCATTACCGCCTCTCTTCTGTGCTCTCTCCAGGCTCTGAACCTCTTCTGGCTCTTCTGTATCGCCCGAATTGCCTGGCGATTTGTCAGCCAGAACGATCTTCAAGACGACCGATCCGAGGATGAGGATGACGGCGAGATTGAGGAAGACGAGGTCGCCAGCCCTTCCAAGGCCAACGGCGGCACAAATGGTGATGTTAATGGTCACATCAACGGCAAGGCCTCGACAGACATGAAGAACTAAACGACTTTGCATCTCAAAACGGCATCGGCGACTGCTGGAGATAGAAAGCTGGAAGAGAGAAACTCAGCATTTTTTATTGTCGGAAAAGGGATCGGAAATCAAAAATGAGGTTGAGACGAATTAATGGATCAGCATAATATTTATGACTGCAGCGAAAGGGGCTCACGAAAACGGAGGCGTATAGTTGCTTGCACCTCTCCCTTTTGAGAGTGTGGAAGGGGACGACTTGATCGAATGGTAACGGAGTTCAAATGGGAGTGGTTGTCTCACAGTCGCTTTTGTATCGAACATGCCGGCGTCCCGAGAGAATCCGTGTTATCCGGACTAATCAATTGTTCTGTTGCAGTAGGTTGTCGAGTCGGACGGCATAGATGCGTTGACTCGCCTTGTTGATGCAAGGAGTCATGGATGTCGTTCTGAGGCCAAAAATTGAGAAAGGTCTTGGACAAACGTCCAGACACCGCTAACATCGAGTCTCACTTATATGTGCGACGCTCCTTCTGGCCTCAAACGACCCGCATACAGCAGCAGTACACCATCTCTCTCGGGCCATGTATTTACATATGCATATATTCTTGTACAATCACTTATCAATATCTATACGAACACACTTAATAATATTACCACCTGGATGCTCGCTACCCTAACTCCACACATGTGCTATTCACACTCCTGACTGCAACGTTGAGCGAAACCGATCTGTGTCAGTGAGTGGCTTGCGTCTTGCAGCTAAGAGCGTTAACACGCGTCAACTTGGCACTTTTTATGCCTTGAAGACCCAATTATCAACTCGCCTCTCTCGTGTTGCTTCGAGGTCCAAATATCACACATGTCTATCGTGTGGAGACTGCCAATCGTTCGCCCCAATGGATACTTTTCTCTGAAACCCCATCGACAGCGCATTAACTGTTCGAGAGGACACGCGCAACGCGTAAGCCGCTACTAGCGAGCTTTAGCATCTCCGTGCAACGAGTAGCAAATCGTATATTGCAGGTCAACATCAGTGATGTGTCTATTTATGGCCTATTCAAGCTACAGACAGACTAATCAGTCCATTCACTGTTTATCGACTTTGCGTGGGTACACATAGTTGAAACGTATGCAGTATACGCCCCTCTTTTGTGCTGAAAGGATACAGTTCAAAGTCCATCCCCTCACATGTTATTGCAATTCCACGCGGGACAACGCTTTCGAGTATGCTACATGAACACAACTAGCTTTCCTATCAAGGCTACAGGGTGCTTCTACCTCATCCGATGTGGCAAAGTCGGAGCTCCATGAAAGTGGCCCAGCACAATGCGTATGTAATGTACATACTGCTGCTATGGACAAAAGCGGCTATTAGATTGGCGGAGGATAATCGCCGGGAGATAGTTCCACGCCGCAGGCATACACCGATTCAAAACAGCTTACAGCAACCTTGCCTCCGGACCCTTGCCCGGCGGTTCGTTCCTATGATGGCGTCAAATGACGGTTAACTCACTGGGCCTTTCAGGGTCAAGCTCGACGGGATTACGGTGAGCCGCTCGTGATGCTGGTTCTGTTGCCCCTCCGTGGATCCCGGTGTCCGGGGTGGCAGGTCCGGGCATAGTGGACCCAATCATCTACCGCTTGAACCCCGAGCACAGCCTCAATACGGAACTGGCTCAACGGGCGGCACGAGACAAGGACAGACATCTCAAGTAAAACAAGTGTTATCTAGATTACCACACAGATCAAGTGATACGTTACACATCTTATATCTGCTCAACGGACTGACACGTGTATACAGTGAAACAAACCATCTAGACCAAGAAAAACACAAAGACCTCATTTGCTTGCTTGCCTGCTATGCTATGTTACGCTATGCTGTGGTAGCCCATGCTTCCATATTCTTGCTTGAATCAGGCACAATAACTTGCAATTCGTACTTGTCCTATCCGAAATGGACAAATAGTTGGTCTTCTATGAAATAGCATTCCTGCATCCTACTAACGTTTGTGGTTTTAACCATCAACAGAAAAACAGCAACAGTCCCTTGATTTTCCCTTCCTTTCCCTTCCTTTCCCTTCAATAATAGCAGCTACCAGTGAGCCACTCAAGCTTTCCCCATACCTAGATCGTTAACATTTCCTCCCGCATGAGCGGTCTCTGAGTCTATGAGACCTAAAAGTCTCCTTTATAAAGACTGGCGATACCCCACCTCGGCCACCGTCGTGCTTCGTCTGGTCGAGCATGTGTGCAACTTCGTATGCCGTGTCGAGCGCGTCGAACCGGTCGTCGCATGTAAGAGAAATGCCAATCAATCCATGTACCCTTGATGTTAAGCTAAACCCATATTCCATGTCGCATTCCAAAAGTAAATCGTGATAACCGTAAACGCCTGCCCATGTTCCTATCATGGCAATCACTATGCCATGTGTAGCATATAACAAACGGTGGAATGTTTGATTGCATTAAACCCCTTCAATGTTGCCTTATTGGTGAGGTTGAAAATTTCAACTCGTACGCCTCGTAAATAGGCCATCTTCGAGATTATTAGTCGGATTTCCTTGATCCGTTTCGTTAAAATTAGAAGCAAAACTCCTCAACACCGATCTGATGCAGTCTTTAATGCTGAGCATTTGGGTAAAACATTCCAGGCGGTGATCGTGCCCGTTCATGAACCGAAATGGTAGATAGCATGGTAATGTTGTGATGTAAAATTAAGTTGGTTAGATGATTTCAGCCTCCAAACTTCCTGCCGTCAAGGGTTGCAGGAAATCCGTGTGCAGGTCCGGTGACAAAACGTGCGCCGGGAGAAGATCAGCAGCTTACTTGCGCTCACGCTCTCTTGAGTGCTCTTCGCTGTGACTTGATTCTGTGTCCGAGGATGAGGATGAAGAAGTGTGTGTGTCATCCCCATGACCTTGAGAGCCGGTACCAGACAGGCTTCCGGGTGATCCAAAGCTGTCAATAGCAGCGTCAGAGTTCCTTTTGGGGGCCATCTTCGCCTTGCGAACGGCTTTTGCGGCCTTCATTTGCGCCTCACGAGCAACATCCAGAGCACGTTCAGCTCTGATCTGTTTCTCCCACATTGAAGCATATCGTCCTTTGGCCGCCAGAAGTTCTTCGTGGGTGCCCTTCTCGACGATTGTTCCCGAGTTCAGAACGACGATCTGATCGGCGTGCGTAATAGTTGATAGTCGGTGTCTATAAGTCAAGTTAGCAAGAACAATAGCGTGCAGTAGTAACAGATGGTTCACATACGCAATGATGAGCAAAGTACGGCCCTGCCCGATACTCCACACATTGTCTTGAATCTCCTGTTCGGTATGAGAGTCCAGCGCGGATGTGGCCTCGTCCAACATGATGATACGAGGGTCCTTGAGAATTGTCCGTGCGATCGCAACCCGCTGTTTTTCGCCACCGCTCAGGCGGAGACCACGTTCTCCAACTTGTGTGTTGTACTGATCGGGGAAGGAGAGAATGCGGTCATGAATGCTAGCTGCCCGGCAAGCGGCGAAGACTTCTTCTTCCGTGGCAGAAGGCCTTGCGTACTTGAGATTAAACATCAGTGTCTCGTTAAAGAGGGTCGTATCCTGAGGAACGACGCCAATCGCTTCTCTGACCGAGTTGATGGTCAAGTCTTTGACGTTGCGGCCGTCCAGTTCGATAGATCCCTCGTCGCAATCGTAGTAACGGAACATGTGGCGAAACAATGTCGACTTGCCACCACCCGACTCGCCGACAAAAGCTGTTGTGGTGCCAGGCAGACATTCAAAAGAGATGTTGCGTAGCGCGGGCTTGCGTCGGTCATACGAGAAGCTAACGTTATTCCAGCGCACATGGCCTTGGAAATCTTTGCTTAGCGGAACAGCATGGGGAGTGTCTACCACTGTTGGTTGGATTTTGAAAAGCTCGAGTAACCTCTCGCCGGAGATCATGGCTTGCTGGACCGTCCTGTAGAAAGTACCAAAGAAGTTGAGAGGTCCCTGGAGCTGTGTCAAGTAAGCGACAACCATGAACCAGTCACCAGTGCTACGAAGGCCCATAGCGACCTGCCAACCGCATACTAATGCCGCGATGATTCTACCGAGGTTGAAAACCACGGTCTGGCAGATGTTCATCATCATCATGCCCATCTGAACCTTGGCTTCAGCGCCTTGGAAAACAGCAACCTTGCTTTGGTAACGACATGACTCAAACTCTTCCGCATTGAAATATTTGACGGTCTCGTAACTAGAGATCGAGTCGTTTTTGACAGCTTCTTCTTCGCGATCGGCGTTTGTCATCTCTCGACGCTGATCAGCTCGAGTCGATGCCATCTTGATGGTCATGTAAAGATACCAACAAGTATCAACAAGATTGATTTCAGCATACAGCGGTCCGTATTGGTAGTAAAAAACCGAAATGGCGAGGAAAAGATCAAAAAGCATAGGGAATACCTGGAAGGTCACTTGTTCAAGGAATTGGTTGATCGATGAGCCTTTGTTGAGGGCCGACAGAACTTCTCCAGTACGCTTGGAAAGATGGAAATCGAGACTGAGGGAGTGGACGTGGTTAAAAGCCGCTGTTGTTAGTCCGCGGTAAGAATATTGCGAGACTGGAATCCACAGGATAGATCTGAGAGAGCCCAAAAGTCCCGATTGACCTTGCAGAATCCACAGGAGCCCAAGGATCAGGAAATCTTTTAATGGGAAGTTGTCCATCGAGAGGCGTTCTCCATCCTGAACTAGCTTTATCACCTCCCCAAGATCATTCACAACCTTCTTGACGGTCATTGGAACAGCGACGTTGACCAAGCGCTGCATCATGACCAAGATGAAGCAAATGAGGACATTGATTTGAAGCTTGACAGAGTCCTTAGGCCAGAGGTAAGGAAAGAAGAGAGAGTACCCCTTAAAATACTCCCACCATGTCTTGTGTGGCAGCTTCTCGGGTCGATAAAAGGCAGCAGGTTCTTCCTTCTTAGGGAAACTGGGCGTCTTGTGTGCATTCGAAATGGTCCTGCCGCGTCCACGGCGTCCATTGGTCTCCCGGCCGCTGGGTTCTCGGCCGTTGGGAGTGTGGCCGTTAGCCAGTTGGCCGTTAGCCAGTTGGCCGTTAGCCAGTTGGCCGTTAGCCAGTTGGCCGTTAGCCAGTTGGCCATTAGTGTCGTAGGACCGGCGATGCCCGTTAAGGAGCGGTGTCGATTCAGCCGGGTGAGCCTCTTCAATTTTCCTATCATCGAGACCTCGAGCTTTACGAATCCACGCCAAGCTGAAAACTCCAATTAAGGCGAGTAGGTGGAGGATTCTAACGAAGTAGAACACGAGGTCAACCTTGGTCCAATAATCGACACAGTTTCCATCCTTTTCTGAACCGCTATTTTTAACAGATCGGAAAAAGTGGCAATCAGCGGCAGCAACTGCGGTGGTTGAGAATATAACAACCTCTCCAGTGAAGCCCAAGATCCAAACAACGAAATGAACGATGTTGGGGCCTTTGCGCCAGTCGAAGAGGGAGATGAGGATATATAGGTAAAAGAATAGAGCGCCGGTAACGTGGACCTAAGAAAAAAGTGGTCAGTTCAGTTTATGATAGTAGACTCCCGCGATGGTTCGAGGGGCTAGTGATTCACTTACAACACTCCATTCGCCAGCCCACGGAAGCCCCTTCTGGGACCACTCGTAAGGGTCCTCAACCCAGAAAGCATGATAAAACATAAATCCAGCACTGGCTACGTATGTCAAGAAGACAACAAAGGCGAGGTAACGGAAAACGTTCTTGGCGGTACGACCGAAGCCGGGACCAATCTTACGATCACCATCGGCGCGAGTGCTCTTCTTCTTGGTGATGGGTAACGGTTTGCCTCCCGGGCCCTTGATCGTAGAATGGACTTGATCCTCTTGTTTTTTGGAGTTGATAACGCTGTACCAAGCAGCACCGGATACGAAAGCTGTAAGTAGGATGAGGGCGTATAGGTATTGTGTTTTGCGCAGGATGTAGTCGGCTAGAGGTAGGTCATCGCGGGCAGCACCGCGAAGGAGAGTGGTCGCGATGTCGTCGGCGGAAGCCATGATGGCGGACTAGAATTGTTTGTGAGCGTCGGTGTCGATGGTTCGTCAGGACAAAGAACGGCAGCCCATATGTGCACTATCGAGTCCGAGTAAAGGACGGCTTGGGATAGAAGAGAGTAAGGTCTTTCACCGCGGACGAAGCATGGCCCTGCCCGTGGCAATTGACGGGACAGAGGGGCCAAAAAACGAGTGAGTGGCGGGGGAATGGAGGGAGAGGCAGAAGATGTTGATGTTGGAGAGTTAAAAGACTCGACGACTCGCTCGCTCGCTCGAGTTTCGAAGACGAGTGCGGTCTAAGTCCTGCTTTGAGCCGACTTAAGTGCAAGTGCGGTGCCACTGCGACTGCAAGGTGCTTGCAAGGTCTTGGGTCTAAAGGTCTCTCTAAAACTAATGTGCTGGTACTGGTGCAGAGTGCAGAGTGCAGCGCAGATGCATGTGCAGGGGGAGGTGCGACCTGCCGGGTGCAGGGTGCCGGCTAGGTGCCAGGTGCCAGCTGCAGCAGAGCAGGTGCCCACTAGCCACTTAAGCAGGTTATGGGCAAGCGCGATCCGAAGGGGTCTTTGGGGCCTTTGGGGCACCGCATTGCTCGCAGCGCCAATCCAAGCCAGCCCATGACAAGACAGGACAAGCAACTGCTCACGGTCGAGTCCTTGTCCCCAGTTTCCTACCGGACAGGGTGTGAAGGAAAATGCGACTAATAGCACCTTAAAACACTGACTGCACTGCTGGGCAAGTACGGTAAGTATTGAACCCGCCCGCACCAGCGACACCATTATCAGCTCAATATAGATGCTAACCTAGGAAGGGATCTTGGTATAGAAGTGTATGTATACTTCAATTGCCTCTACTCCTCGGTCAACATCCATTACCATTGCCCCTCCAGCTCGACGACTCGACTTGACACAACCCAGCTCCCTCCCAACGGCCATCTTTACCCAACACTAACACCAAGAGCCAAGGGGGGAAAACCACATGGACTTAACAGTGGAGTGAAGGGCAGGTGCCAGTTGCGTATCCAGGCCTTTGCCTGGCGGGCAAAAAGCAGTATTTGGGGCCTTTGGTGGGGACAGCTGACTTGTGTCAGTGGCGAAAGCCACCCCGATGATTGCCATGGTCCCGTCGACGTCTTCTTGGCTGCTCCATCAAATTGGATGGAATAATGACTGATGAATAAAATGTATGAACGACCAGATGAAAGGGTTAAGGAACTACCTATTCAGTGCAATAGGAGGAAGGGGAGAAAGGAGACGAACAATAGGAAACTCGGGTACATACCTCTTTCGGGCACTTTCTTCCCAACAAACGTCAATTCAAAATTCAAATATGGTCTTGTTGTTCCAAGGGTTCAAGGGTCACCCAATACGAGTCTGGGGACTGGCAAAGGCTTGCTGATATTCTGTATCCGAATCTTGTAGCCTTTTCGGTTCGGTTGATATCGAATCTGCCAACGCGTGTTTACTCAACAATAATGATTTAACAATGATTTTTCAAGGGCAGTTTCTCTTTGTTGGTTACTGGGACAGATCAACGAGTGTTAGGTACCTGTCTTGGCTAATGTTGTTTTTGGAGATTGGATGCCCTAGTCGTTGCTGGATCGTTGCTAGATCGCTGGTAGTCTGATGAATAACCCAACTTACTCAGTTGTTGCTATTTTCGATATGTGAATGAATGTAAGCTGCGAATGGAACTCTGCCATACAAGAAATAACTACCGTGTCGTTTCGATGACTACAATATTGCCTCAGCAGGCCTCCTGTCCCTCTTTTTACTCTTGTTCCTGTTCCCGTGCTTCTCTCTTACAAGAGACTCTTGCTCAACCAGAAGCAGCGCCTCTCTTCTAGACCCTCTGAGCCTCCCGGCGTTCTCCTAGAGGTGGGACGCTTTTTTTTTTTTGGGACCGCACGCCCCGGTCCCAGCACACGCCTCTCTGGATTTGGCACACTCCCACACAGACGCCTTCTGGGCATCAACTACCTAGAAACAGTTAGGATGAAGTGGACCGCTTCTTCTGTTATGGCTGGTGGGGTTGGCCAGAGGGTCCCCTGGAGTCTCTTTCCGGGGGCGCGGCGGTTCTTTGGTGCTGCGAAGTATCCAGTAACATTCTCGAGTCCTTCTTCTCTTGTTCTGACGGATCCGCTTTGGAGGTCTTTGATGGGTCTAAGAATTCGAGAATGCTTGTCTTTTTACAGACGGTGTTTGGGTTGTGTGCCAAGAGCGTGCATCACGATGGAATGGTAGGTTTGTTTGGAAGACAGACGATAAATGATCCGCGAAGGTGCATGGGCTTTGACAAACCAGACCTGGATCTGGCCTGACAGCTTAAAACGCTGGTGCCGCGGTATCAAAAGGAACAACTGACTTGACTGTTGTTCAATATTATTATGGGGGGACGACAGCGTTATCAGGTCGCGCGACTCGGACGTGAAAGAGTCCAGATCTACAAGTCTATAATTATACTGTCCTGTCTTGCACCGTCACTGGTTGTCACTGATATCCATAACTAGATGGATAGTTGGCATCCATACATACTAATCATTACTTGGGGTTATCACATGTGTGTGCTTGATGAATAGAATGCGTGTCAAAAGACAATAAACAACCAAAGTATTTACCGAACAAAGGGGGATGAATAATATGGTTTTGTTCTTTTTAAGGAAACGGGTCCTCATACAACCTTCATATATTGCAACGTACATACGCAATGAGCACCTGGTCTAGTATGGTTCCGCTTCAGGTGAGATCGGGGACAGTTTGACCAACGGCTAAGTGACCCCCAGATGGTAAGTCAAGGTTAATTAATGGAATTAGAATTCTGAGAATAAGTGGCAGGGAAATTGAGATTCGTCAGCCATACTGCAACTATGGTGGGCGGGTAGTCAAGGGTTTGAATTGTCATGAACAAAATCGGGATCCTTGATCGTCTAGATATTCACGACGGGCATCATGTTCAGCTAAGACAATCTATTCTCTGACCCAAACACCCCATTGGCCCAACTAACGTCGTGATAGCGCACCACCTCAGCCTTGAAGATGCCCCAATCGAGACTACCTTTATGTATGAGTCCTCTAGGTTGACCAAAGTCAACACCATCTAATCCCGTCCCAACCCTCCTTCTCCCTTTGTCCATCATCATGATCCATCCATCCATCCCTGATGCCCTTGTAAAGTCTTGTCTGTCTGTTGCACTGACCGGACCGAAGGGCGCATCCGTACAGCGGGTTTAGTTAGTTGGTTCGTAGGTGCCCTGTGCTACGCTACATTGCGGTACGGTACGGTAGGGTAACTACAGCAGTCAGCAGCTTTGCACTGTTTTGTATTATGGATCATGGTGGTAATTCGTTCATTCCATGGTTGATGTACGATGAATTGGTGGAAATTCACATGGTAGACCTAAAAGGCCGAATGGATAATCTGCTAGGACGAATTATCGTGTTGGTTCGATCTCACAAACAAGCATTGTACGGAACATTGTACGGGAAGGGAGGGGAAGGGAGCGGTGTGTAATAGCTACAGTGCAGGATAGGTACTGGATAGGCATGTCTCCCTCGGGCTGTCTTGTGCCTTGTACCAGCCATCCACCTTCTGCTACTGCGCTATCTGATTCTTGTTTTTCGGTGGTCAATTCATATCAATCATGAACGATTCCTTGTATTAGACCACAGCTTTGACATCTAATTGTCTGAGAGGTCCCCGGTGACTACGGTGATGAATGATAGTGATGATGTAAGTGAGGGCCAAGAGTCCCATGTTCCGTCTCTTAGCTTGTTGTGTTGGTTGCACAAAGACATGTATGCACCCCGTACTAGACTAGTTACCGATTGCTTCTGATTCGAATAAGAAGCTGCTGAAAACTACTGCACAGTACCTCCTCGCAAGGCTCAATATGTCAAGAGGTCTGTCTTGTCTGTCTTGTCTGTCTTGGTGTGGTATTAGTGGTGATGATCCTGGCAACTCAATTGCTAGACCAATACAGTATTCGGATTAAAGTTCTCGTTTCAATAGATACTTTCAGCTTGATATTCGTTTATGTTTCACTTCTTCGAATAGTCACATACCTAAACACTCTGGTCGAGTCTTTTCTCGACCCCGTGCTCATCCCACATCTTCGATCCCGGTAACTAGATCCATCCATCCATCACCCCGTCAAAAGAAGATCTGAGCTTCTGACGTAAGGTGTTCTATGTATCCGTATTGTACTGTATTGCACATGCAGCCTCTCTAATCAGCCGTCGTCATCCGAGTCAAGTCAGATGGGAGGTCAAGCGAGTCAGGAGGTCGTTTCTCGGCCAGCAACGGAACATGGCAGACCGCGGTTGTTTACTGTATCCGTGCGACCATCACCCCAACCTGGTATTTTTTAATGTCTGAATTTTCTAAGCCAGAGCTGCTTGTCTGAAATAAAAACTGAGGCATTGATGGAACAATGGGTAATCCATCTATGTATGTATGTAATATATGTATGTACGTATAGTGCCTATAAAAAACAAAAGGAAGGGAGACAAGAAAGACAACTTCTTTCACCGGCCGGCAGGTCGCTTCACTTTGTGTTGTGTCACAAAACTTTAGCCTGCAGATGGGACATTGATCTTTACCTCATTGTGTAAGCTACAGTAGGTTTGCTGCATGAAGCTATGCGCGTTGACGCAGGTCCCTGGGAGAGAAGAGACAACTTGAGAGCAATTGACGAATGGGAGTTGACGATGCCTTCGGTCATCGACCATTCGTTGCATTGCACCCAGGATCTCTCTTAGCTACATGAAGGCCAAGGCGTGGTACGGCACTTGGATGCAAGACGATATGATGGGATGGGGGAGAACGGTATAGAACAGTATTTGCGGTGTAAAAGGACGCGCCTCATCAACTATTGCATCGTACACATGCACCAGCTTACACAGAGCGTAGACTAGTCCATCTGTTTGTATGTCTGTCTGGGTATCTTAGACATATGCACGCGCAATTCCAAAATCCCTGTTGGCTGTAGTTGTATAGTACACTCTTCTCTCTCCCCCAGATCGACCGTGTTGGTGGGATGGATACCTACCTAAAGTAGGCAGGGAGTGAGTGTCAGATTGATCCATCCTAGTCATGCAAATTGTGTGTTGCTGTCAGATATCGGATTCACTGACAAGGTGAAGGACAAGGTGAGGCAATCCCCCCTCCCCCGGTGTGCAAGTGAACCCAAGCTAAGATTGGCGATGCGCCGTCCGATTCTGGAAAAATGACAAGAGACAAGCAAAGCAGCAAGATAGATTAAGTTAGTAGGCGGTTAAATGTATGTTTTGCTGAGTTTTTTTTTTATGCTTTGTTTGCCAGGGTCACCCAGCTATCCCACCATCTATCAGTTATAGTTACTATCCATAGGTCTTTACTATGTTAATCACATCCACTGTGGTCTTTGCTCAACTCCACAAAGATTACTATTATTGTTGTTTTTGTTGTTGCGGTCGTTTTGAGGCCTTTTAGCCTGACCCTCTTTCTTACAATTGCCGATGACCTGTGCTGTCGTAATGCGTCACCAGGCACTTTCAGGGAAGCCAACGGCGGCTATTCCTGAATATACATATAGAAATATTGAAGCCAGAGCTTGCTTCCTGATCAATCAACTTTGCATGGAGCTTCCAATGATGTCAATATAATGCCAGTATCAAATGCTTTGCCGATGTTTTGAATAGCCTGAGTACCTCGGCAACTCCCCTGAGGAAAGGAATTAATACCGAGACCAAAAGAAAGCAAATCCGTAGTGTCTAGGGAGTAGTACTAAGTTATATACAACAATGAATTGACTAGCAAATGCCAGTCTGAAAAGAACAGCACATTTATCCACTACAATGTGATTACAGAAATTAATTACTCAAGTTCACGGTCCGCGCCAGAATGGAGATGGGATTTTTGATCTTCACTGCCAAATGAAATGAAAGGTCCCCTTTGATCTACAACCACCAAACGTCAAACTATTCTCCATTCACTTTCCACTAGGACACTCTCGGTAAATAAAAAAAAGATGGCTTTGCCAATTTAGTACACTCTCCTACAAGGAGGTAGGTACTTCTACTTCATCATGAAAATATTGTCGTTTTTCACCTCACCGCTTGCTCTTGTGCAGCTGTCAATCAGTCATTAAAACACACCTAACTACCTATACACAGTCCTATGGATGCGCTTCTGCAGCACTGTTGGGCTCAAGTTACGACGTGCATCGCTTGAGCTTATCCGATTGATGCAAGCCCCCCTGTTCACTTCCTGGCGCCCAAGCATGGATGCTTAGGCCTGACAAGTCAGATTTATCTCAACTGAACATGGGAGCCACGAGAGCAAAGGCTGCAATAGTCAGCTTCTGAGACCTAGTATTTACAGGCATTCCCAGTCTCAAATCACTAGATACAAGACCCTTTGTCTTGGATGTTGTTGTGATATCACAACCAACCATCTTTAATATGTGCTGCACCTATTCGTCCAGTTATATCACCACTATCAAAGCAGACTTGACCCTGAACTTGACTGGTTATAGCAGGATTAACTCGAGCTCGTATTGGCGCAACAATGAACTGATATCCGATATAAAGAAAACCCAAGGATGAAATATGGAATGCAACTCCATTTCTAGAGTCCGCGTCACCTGTCTTGTTCTGTTATATCTCCATGTCTCAAGATCACGGACAAAGATAAAAACCCATCCATCCATCATCCACGGGAATGACTGGCTGGCTGACTTGACTGGTGCGTGACCTGGATATGTGAGATAGAACAATTTAGGTTGCCCCTCTATGGTCCCCTTACTCGTCAAGCGCGAGTGGCTACCGTAGTATCTTAGTACCTTGCTGCAGTAGTCAAGGCTCAAAGAGCCGCTCCGTCACGATCCTAGTGCTGGCTCTAAGCTATTACTAGATTGACTAAAAAAGGTATGTAGACCAAAGCAAATTGACACATCCCTCCATCTGCTTGCTGTGCTTTGTTCATGGAACACAAAGTCGACATAGAGAGCCAAATCAAGATCCGAGCGGACTCATGACACTGCCCAATCATGAAGATTGGTATACTGCAGTGATGGCAATAAAATAATACCCCTCCTCCATTAACTGATACGATATAGTCTACATTTTATACCTGTCAGTCTGTATGTCTCTGATGTCAGCCTCTTTGTACTCAGTCCTGGTGTAAACGAGCATGTGCTAGAAACAGGAACCTTTCTTTCTATCAATTTTACTGCTCAATATGACAACTGCACTCCTAATCAGGTTGAGCGTGCATTTCACCGCAGTCCGGCCTAAGTCAAACCTCACCCTTCCGGGACCTGGAGCTAACAATTGATTAATGTGAGTTGGTGGTTGCGATTGTGGTGGGCAACTTGGTGGTGTCATCTCTGCAGACGACTGCATCTGTTCTGAGGGTCCAGATCTGACAAATCCAAGTGATATCCTTCACTACATCTTCTGCCAACTTGGACCAACAATAAAACCTTGGCATCAGCAACCAGGTACGTGCTACCCCATGAACTGCCTACTATATCCAGATTTGGCTGGTCTTTTCTCTTTCTGGGGAAAACGACCCTGAAGTGAGGCCATTCAGGCCAGCCCTGGTTAGGCTTGCTGAGCTGATGTGATGTGATAGAATGTGATACGACGTGATGCCAAGGATGTGGAAGATAGTAGTCTATGCCCTCGGTGAAACTCAGCAGCTATTAGAATACTACTGTACCACGCAGGACAGGACAGTTAGCTGAGAGATACGCGAAACCTGATGCTAAGTAAGAGCCATTGGTTGATTCGGCTTCATGCATCAATTTGTGCAACTCTCAAACAAGGCGAGCATATATGAGTGCCTAATTCACCCAGATGCATATATGAGTTCAAGGATCCCCCTTCTAATGAACGAGGCCTTCAAGGCCTTCTAAAATCATACATACTTTACTCAGAAGATAGATGATACCTTGATATTGAAAACCAACGCCACCTATTCGATATAAGCGTGTATACGGTGCTGTACCTTCCGCTTACCTCCCTCAACTTTGCCTCACGAAATGCTACCAGCCGCTGGCTGCAACTTCGAAACCCTTTGAGGCCAACTATTTCCATCCTTTGCTCCTGCCGTGCTGTGCTGCGCTGCGTTGTGTGTTGTGTTTGTGCCTACCTGCTCATGTCTATTTTAGTACCTCTGTACCGTGCTGCACTACGCTGAATTGTAATGTACCTTCCTTCCTTGTTACTATTTTTTTTAAAAAAAAAAACAAAAAAAAAACCTGATGATTTAACTGCAACTAGGAAAGAGTCAACAACATCGACTAACCGATCGGTCAGTCTTGCCTGCCGTGTGTTTACTGCACACAGGTAAAATTCCAAGCAGGTAGGAGGTAGGTGCAAGCCAACAAATACCTACCTCGTAAGGTACCTACCTACCTACCTGCTTTCCATTTCCATTTCCATTCCTATTACCCTGCCTTATCTTACTGCACTTGGCGTGGCAAGTACTTTCATACCCGCCTTCCCAACAAGCCTCCATCCACAATCGCATATCATGAATATTCAATTGCTTCCTTGATGGCTCACCTCTCACACTCAACTTCAGTCCACCCCGCTTAGACCATGGCTGAACTGGGCAAGATGCATCTCTCATATTTGTGCAACAAATTAATTTGTTGAAGTCGTCTCGTCCAGTCAATTTTATCCCCTTCAGCATTCCCACCGTGCGGCATAGTCTCAACGCCTCATCTCTACTTTTTAGTGTAAACTTCTCTCCTATGTATCATGTTCCCTCTTTTCGTTTTGACGTATGACTAGGTAGGTACCTAGTCTTGATTGTCTGTTGCTCACAAACTCAAGACCCTCCTCGTATTGGCCGCTTACCTACATTGCCCGCAACCATTATATGGGTATCAACCTCATGGCAATGCAGACTACCACGCCCCATGGCTACGGCATCCCTAAGAAATCAGCGATCAATTGGTATTCGAGGATATAAATTCCCCAATACGATGGTAGCGCCGTAGAATACTGCACCAACGTCTTATTTATCGGCCAAAGATTTCCTGTGCTTATTGGAACCACAAAAACGACACCGAACTCTTGACGGCTCGTCTCGATAGATGATACATCACCACAAAGTACCAAGCAGGCGATATCTGCCAAGATTTTACTTGGACTCTGCGCTTGCGCAATATGTGCCATTCGAACACACAATGTCATTGATACTTTATGGCCTGACTTACTTTTGACCATGATGATAATCCCTCCCAGGCCTCGCATTCAGCTTTCCTCTTCTGGTCTTTCATGGGCCTCGAACGAATCAAGGTTAGTATACATTATTCAATCAGAGCCGCTCGACATACAAGCTTCATGCGTACTCGGTTCTATTGGTCTCGACCAGATCAAACACTACATCCGTATGCGGCTCGCCATCAGGTTGCGTTTCATAGGTCCAGCAGCAATTATGCACGCGGCTTGACACATACGACTGGGTAATTACCTGGTAATACGTATACTCGAGGTTGTTAAGCCAGTCATGGTCTGTCAAGGAAATTGCTGTTTTCTGCGAAACCGACATTTTCACATTTGGGAAATCAGAAGGTGATAGCACCAAAAACCCGAGCAGCTCGTTACGCCAGACCGCATGGCTTGCAACAGCCCCGACTAAGCTCTCTTGGCTTCTCGAACGTCATTGTACACAATACCGTGCAACTGGATACGCTTCAGCTGCGGGATGACCTGTTCTGGATTTCTGGGGAAAATATGTGCGTGGCCGTAGTGTCATATATTGAGTGGATGCGTGGTGCGGGACACTCGCCTTATTCGGTATCTCCCTTCACCGGTTGACTACGAGAAGATCCTGGAGATGGCCCACCACTCACTGCCTGGCACACGCTCTTTTGCCTTGGCTTCGGGGATAATCCCCCACACGAAAAGATCTCCAATCCAACTCTTCAGCCTCAACCACACCAAACAATAGCTGGCCAAATGTGCCAAAGTACTCGCCTCACCATCAGTGACTTTGGCCACATCTAGTTGATTGTACAGATCCTTCCTCTCCCGCATACACCACTTATACACGCATGGCCCATATAGTCACTTCAAGTATATATGTGTACCTTGGAATCGGCTCACCGACAAGTCTGGCGACGAACAAGACTTTATTCCAGCAAATAGGGTCGATCCCGAGTTTCAATAACGGTTGTATTGTGATACAAACAAGCTTGCAGGTTTCCGCTCCAATGGGTCCAACTAGCTTCACCGCGAACCGAGACGATACTCATATCCTTGCTCGATAACCCGATAACCCGATGACAAGATGGAGGTATGTTTAGGCTTCGACTAGTCTAGCACAATGAAAGTGCCTGCATACAGCAAGTACTTCACGGGGATGTTTTCTCGATACGTCTTGTATACGGTGTGCTGACCCTCAGAAGACCAAGCATAGTCAAGAAAAAGCAAGGCGCTGACGAATGGAAATGCCACAGTATGCTAGGTGTCACAACAGGCTCCGTTCAACTGGTTAATTCCCCTTGAGCCTTCCTTCTCTTGCTGAAAGCCCAAGCAGATTCGGAGGTCTACAGGGCGTTGAACAGAGACATCGACTGATTCAATATCTGATGCCCATATGCAAGGCAGTTACATTTTTGTTTCAGTCGGTACCTTCGTTTCAGACTCGGCACCCTACCTACTGTCTACACTATTGGAAAGGCTTTCGTTTCATGCACGGCACAGCTGCCGTAACATCTGGTCCGACAACGCAAAAAGCTTATCAATATGACGAACATCTGACAATTAGTGGTGCAGATAGTTGCATATATGCTTTGCGAGTAGTCATGGACTAATTGGTGCTCAGTTTTGGCTGGTGTTAAAGCCCGTGTTACCCTTGGCCCCCCCCCCCCCCCCAAGCTTGCAGGCTACAGTCATGGCAGTATCCATGTACGTTGCCAAGAGGCTTCCGGGTTGACATGGCATCAATTCTTCAAAAGAAGGGAGGAACCCAAACCTTGAGAAAATTTGAGTTGCGGCCTAACGTGCACGGTGCCTTCGAGTGTAAAAGTCCTCCTTCATCTCGCCTGCAATCGTGATGGGCTGGCGAGACAGGATCCGTCTATGGTCTTTTATTGCTTCTTGGATATTGTTCACCGCCTATACTTTTACAGCCGATATGTAGGGGTGGTTGCCAGGGTCAATTGGCCGCGGAGCAAACAAGAAATCCCTCTCAGACAAAGACATTCAGTCCGTTCCTCGAATTATTCTCATTCCGTGGTGGGCAAAGCTCATATGATGGGTCGGAATGCAGCCGTACAGCGCGAGGGGGTGGAGGTTGCGAGCAACTACATCAGATTGTGTCAAATGTCACTAAAGAGGTCAGTTCATTGAATGTGGTGTGGCACGAACAACCAAGCAAAAAAAGACTACGTGTCGGTGTGAGAAGTAGGCACAGAAGAACGAACAAGTACTTGACTTAACACACATTGCTCAAACCTTTCACTGCCGGGGATACCAACGGGTCGGGCCGTGAGTCGGCCAAAGCAATCCAGCCTGATAGTACTGACTTTGGATATCCGGTGTGAGATGGCCTCCACTGCATGGATGGAAAACTCGGATGAGGTGACTGTCTGGGGTAGAGTACCCGTCAAAGCACGCGCTATGTACCAACAATGGCAGAGCTCGGCGCTATCGACCACGCGTTTGCTAACGGGTACCGACTGTAGAGTTGTTTCGCTTTGTCGTCATGGACGCAAATGTCTGCCCATCAGCCACATTGTGCTGCCGCGGCCAGTTGTACGCTCGTTTGAACAGTGGGTGCTCCCAGGTGACATCTGAATTGCCCTTGTTGGTTGAGGATGGTAGCATCATGTATCAGTCAATGCCATGTTAGTACGGGGGACGGGGATCAATTTTTTGCCCCGTCAGGCGAGCAACCTCTCGTTCTCTGACTGAGGTGCGAATAGACTGGGTGGGCTTGTTGAATGGGAATAGAGTAGTCTTCCGTACTCTAAACCTTCTCGGCGAAGCTGTTCGGTGCCGTCGGCATCTCAACTTGGGTCGCGGCGAACAGCTCGTCTCAACTGTACGGCCGTGCCCAGCCAATATGAACGAACTTCTAAGTTGTTTATCAGTCCACGAAAAACAATATTGGATCGAGTGCAGTAATGAGGAGTTGTGGTGGCAAGGCTTGGCTCAGCTCCTCCATGGTGCTACCATAGAGCGTGGTATTGGATATTACATAAATGTAAACATCATTTGTGTGGTAGAGTGAGAGATTCCTGGTTGCAGCGAGGGAAATCCCATTCCAAGCATTTTCGTGTTGTTATATCGCAATTACATCTTGCAAGGAAGAGCTCCCTGCTTCTTAGAACATGTAAAGCCGAATTATATAACAAAACAGCTATTTATCGAAGAATCTCTCTTTCTGTATACGTATATAATCTGATCTTTGCATTTGACTAACGGACGAATGGGTGACCTGTCGTCCTCAGTAAACGCCACATCCTGTATCAAAACAACAAAGGTATAGCAGAGCTTTTGCTCATATTAAGCACAAGAAGCATACGTACTAGACATTCATTAAATTTTTGTTCATCACTCCCATCATTTCTGAAGATGTTTGCATATAGGAATAGACTGTTTAGGAGTTGTATGCATCCACATGCATATTTTTTCTTTGTTCTGCCACTATGACTTTCGGATACCAGAACAAGAGTTTTCCCAGGTCCCACCCAAAGTTCAAATCAATATATTAAGCATTTAATTACCTTCTCTAGGAAACCTCGTGTATGCTTTAGGCTAGTGGTTATGTTGCCTCGCATAGCGTATGCGAAATCATCTTATGGATTTGGTTTCCATGAATGCGTTGACCGAACAAAAAGATTCTACCCCCATCCATAAGCTTTAAAGCTAGTTTTATGGTTGTAGGAAAACATTCTCTTGTAGTGAGTGACTCGAGATCTGCGACAGATATCTAGAAGATGCACTTATACTGAAGTGTGGTTTGGGAACAGCAACTTGGACAGTACAGCGACCATTGCGTTTCAAAATATGGTGCCGATCGTATCATTGAAGAACATCAGGCAAGACAGTCATGATGAGATTGCAGAGGCTCGCTCGGTAATATCGAATGGATAGTGTAAATCAATAAACTAGGGGTGCTGGTAGATCAGCCACTGCCCTAACAAGGAGATTGTGTAGCCAGGGTAAGAAAAAAAGCAAAACCATGTTCTAGGTCACCAAGTGATGGTCACTCCGGTCATTTCTAAAAGACCATTTTATTATGTTCTGTGGTGAGTGATGTGATGGTAGTCAGTGATATCCCAATCTCAACCCAAGAAAACGTTTACGTGCCCAATCTGCTATCTGGAGGTTATCATGCCTAATGTCATCGGATTGGTTGGACGAGATCGATACCCCGAAAACGCACAGCCACAGTCGAAAGTGGAGTCATGGGGGGCTAGATCAAACCGCAAATCTTTCAGCCTTGCGCGCCCCGAACCTTTTCACACCCAGCCTCAGCCTTGCTACACTACATCCTGACGATCGACTACTATCTTCCGTATCATTGAGTTGAGCTCTGTCGATACAATTTAGGTTAGCATTTACCCCACTATTCAATATCGAGTTGTCACCACGAACTTTTGCTAATTGATAGAGTTCAGTTTCATCGCTATATAATACGGACGAGTACGACAGACAGACTCTCTTTGCTCTAGTCTGCGACTGTCGATTGTCAAGTCTCGAGACCTTTAGCTGGAGCTCCTCGCGTCAGCTCTCACGACGACGTTTGTTTCGGACGTACGATACGATACAGGTCTCTGTAGGCTCTTGTCTCCGATCGTCTATTCAAGGCGCTCTCACACAGGGGTAGAAGCCTATCATCCTTCTCTGTCGCCATCATGTCAAACAACTCGCCCTCCACACCCGTCAAGGTGCCCTCCAGCGCCGCAAACCACACACAGGCTACTCTGGACCCAGATCTGCGCTCACAGATTAACACTATTCTTCTACGCGACGGTCACGTTTCCAAGTACGCTCCCTCCTTTCGCAAGGCTACATAATGATGTCCCACTAACACTATCCCCCAAGAATACAAGATGCCCTCCTTCACGCCCTGAACTCACACTCTACGAACTGGCCCACTACCATTCAGTCGCATGCTCTATCCCTTCTGCGCTCTGGCGAGGTGGCAACCTTCCCTGCCCTCCTCAGTCGCGTCCTCGAAGATGTCCGCCACGACTCGGCTTTGAACCCCATATCCTCGAGCTCCAACGGCACCAGCGCCAAGTCCGCAACCAACGGTGACGCTTCTAAAACTAACGGTACTACGGATGCTAAGCCTAGCCTGGCTGTACCAGAGTCCGTCGTTGAGGAAGCTCTTCGCGTCACTAGAGAGAGCCTCGAAGCCGTTTGCGACATTGAGGACGATGGATCCGCCTAGGAGGCGTCACAATACAGCGATACCGACAAATCAGACGAGGGTTCGCCAGAAGGAAGTTTATGGCACCTTATATTTGCGTAGCGTCATACTATTCCGACAGAACCAAATTTCCCTTCCTATGAAAAGCCCAGCCCCGTCTCAGAGGTGGGAAGGCAACAGCAGCAACAACTTGACCAAATCATCATACAACATAACGAATACCGACAGTAAACAGTCCAGGATAAAATCCAGGATAAGCCCACAATTTTAGGAGAACTAATGCCTCTCTTGAATAAGAACCAAAACGTAATACATACAATCAGTCAACCATTCACAAATGGAGCACAGGACGGATGATACCAAACCTGAAAGAAGGCACGGCTACGAAATGAGATTCACGCATGAAACTAGCTACTAAATAGACTATTCTTTGATAATGAGTTACCTGTGATGTTCCTTCAGACCATGGCGATGTCTAACTTTGTAATAAAAAAATATATATGACTTAGCATTTCGGTCCAACATGGCCAACGTGATTCCAAAAGTCTAATGTGACATTAACACTTGAACCAGTAGAACATTGCACACAAAGATCACACACTCTAAGAGATTCTTTTGGCAGTAAATGGCATATCGGTCTTGAATACGAGCACTGCAAATTGGGTTAAAGCTAAGGGAATCAATTTCGTCATCTATCAAAGCGCAAGTCTGTCTTACGTCACCTAGTGACCACAATCATTTCCTCCTGATCTTCAAAAGCATCATGATCAGGTAGGTTGTTGTCCATCTCTCCTCTACCATTCTACCAACTCCTATTTCAATATCGACCAAAGTGTTGGGATAAATCCATTTCACTGACCGGTCGCACGCTGATGCGGAGATGTACGAGAGAAATTATTAGAGTACAAAGGACTCATGTCCATACAGTCGTTGCTGTCCTTAGTCGTAGAGATCATCATCATTGCCAGCATCACCGAAAGAGTTGCCGGCGTCGCCACCAGCGGCCTCGGCACCAGCCTCAGGGAACTTGAAGAAAGCGCCAGGGCCAGCGTTCTTCATCTGCTGAGCGAAAGCCTCGTACCGGCGGATCTCAACATCTGACACTGATCGTCGAGCCATTTGCATGGCCTCCTCAAAGTGAGCCTTGGTCAGCTCGGGGACGGGATCCTCAGCGTCCTCGTCTGTGTCCATCTCGTCACCGGCAGCCTCACGAGCCTTCTGGCGCTCGATATCGTGAGCGATAGACTCCTTGATAGCAATCTTAACAGCACGTTGTGTGATGAAACCGATATCGGCACCAGAGAAACCGTGTGTCTTGGAGGCAATGTAGCCAAAGTCGATATCGGAGGCAATAGGTGTCTTGCGGAGCTGAGCCTTGATGATGCTAAGACGGCCGGGCTCGTCAGGCAGGGGCACGTAGATAAGCGAGTCAAGACGACCAGGTCGGCACAGAGCAGGGTCAAGCTGCTCGGGTCTGTTGGTGGCACCAATAACGAAAACATTCTTCTTGGAAGTCATACCGTCCATCTCTGTAAGGAGCTGGTTGACAACACGGTCAGAAGCACCGCCAGCATCACCCATGGATCCACCACGGGCCTTGGCGATGGAATCCAGCTCATCAAGGAAGACAACACAAGGAGCAGCGGCACGGGCCTTGTCAAAGATATCTCGGATGTTGCTCTCGGACTCACCAAACCACATGCTGAGAAGCTCAGGTCCCTTGACGGAAATGAAGTTGGCAGCACACTCGTTGGCGACGGCCTTGGCCAACATAGTTTTACCAGTACCGGGAGGACCAAAGAACAGCACACCTCGGGAAGGAGACATGCCAAATTTGAGGTACTTCTCGGGGTGGTCCACGGGGTATTGAACGTTCTCCTTGAGATCCTGCTTGACTTCCTCGAGACCACCAATATCCTCCCAGCGAACGTTGGGGACCTCGACAACAGCAACCTCGCGGAGAGCGGAGGGGTTGGAGACACCGAGAGCGAAGCGGAAGTTCTCCATTGTAACACCAAGGGAGTCGAGGACCTCAGCATCGATCGTGTCCTCATCAAGATCGATGAGATCCATCTTCTCACGAATCTGCTGCATGGCGGCCTCAGAGCAGAGGGCGGCGACATCGGAACCAACGTAACCGTGGGTTTCAGATGCAATCTGCTCCAGGTCGACATCGTCACCGAGCTTCATGTTCTTGGTGTGGATCTGGAGAATCTCGAGACGACCAGTAGGGTCGGGGATACCAATGTCGACCTCACGATCGAAACGGCCGAATCGTCGAAGAGCGGGGTCGATAGAGTTGGGTCGGTTGGTGGCAGCCATGACAACGACGTTGGAGCGAGCCTTCATGCCGTCCATGAGAGTAAGGAGCTGGGAAACGACTCGTCGTTCGACCTCACCGTTTGTCTTCTCACGCTTGGGGGCGATAGAGTCGATCTCGTCAATGAAGATAATGGCGGGAGAGTTCTTCTCGGCTTCCTCAAAGGCCTTTCGCAGGTTCGACTCAGACTCACCAGCCATCTTGGACATAATCTCGGGGCCGTTGATGAGGAAGAAGAAGGCACCAGTTTCGTTGGCAACAGCTCGAGCCATCAGAGTCTTACCGGTACCGGGAGGTCCGTAAAGCAAAACACCTCGGGGAGGCTTAATACCAATGGACTTGAAAAGTTGGGGGTGTCGGAGAGGGAGTTCAACCATCTCTCGGATCTGAGCCATCTGCTTTCGGCATCCACCAATGTCGTCGTAGCCGACCTCGTTGAGGTTGTTCTCCTCCTCATCACGCTGAATGGGCTCACCCTCGCAGTGGATAACAGTATCTTGTGCGACGATACCGTACTCTGGGGGGTCGACCTCGACGACCTTGAACTCCACTTGCCTCATACCACCACGGACAATGAACAGGTCTCCTTGGCGGACAGGTCGGTAGGCTTCTCGGAAGTAAGGGGCGAGGAAAACGTCAAATAGAGAACCGGTGATACCCTCGACGGTATCAGCGATAGGGAGAACAGCAATGCGCTTGGCCTGTATGTGTGTTAGAAACTATATTGTTCGGCGGTACCAGCCATGGAGCACTGACATATTTGATATCGGGACAAGGGTGGATGGTGATCATGTCACCATGCTTGACTCGCAGGTTGTGACGAACGACTCGGTTGATGCGGGCGCTGCCATCATCGAGCTCATCATCGGCGAGGACGATGAGGACAGTGTCCTTTCTCTTCTTGCCTCGAACGAGGACGGTGTCACCACGGAAGAGCTGGAGCTGGTCCATAGTGGCCTCAGAGAGGGCAATGATACTGTTGTCATCATTGACGGCATCGGTAACCCTTGGTCATGTCAGCTGTTGTCCAGTCGTCACACAGCGCAAAGTACCTACATCAGCTGGTTGGGCTTCTTCTTCTTCTTGAGGATCGCGGTTGCGACGTCATCCTCCTGTAGAATGGTTAGCTATATGTTGAAGACTCGTACGGAATCGGATGCCACGAACGTTCTTAATCTCGGCGCCAGAAGGGTCGCTATAACTCTGTTAGCCAGTCTGTTCGATAAAACAAAGATAGTCTGTTTGACTGGTCTCAACAGTGAGAAGTCACATACGTCAAGTTGACCTTCTTGTGGGGGTGTTGCTCGTCAGGCTGGGGAGCCATGATGGTTATCTGGTTGCTTCAGATGAAGCTGGTACAGGCTCGGTGATGACGAAAGGAGGGGGAGCTGTAAGAGTTGCGGGAAAGCCAAGAGATGACTTTATGGATGTCGTACTTGGTGTTCTTAAGAGAATTGCGGAGATGGGAGAATGGGGGAGGGAGAATGTAGAGGGAGAGTTTGGGGTGGAGAGTTGTAAAAGCAGACGTGATGTCGGAGGTTTGGCCTAAAGGTTGGAGGCAAGAGCTGTTCAAAGGCCACCACCTTCCCTCCGGAACGGCTGTTGACAGCGATTCACTGGCCGACCGCCACCTCTGTGGGCCAATGATATCACCGTATGCCCTGAGAACGGGGCGGAACAATGATGTTGAGACAGCTTAGCTCAGCCGGATGGTGGGGCTTCTAGGCTGGCACTATGATGCAGCGACCGCAAAGCGGTAGCAGCAGGCACACCGAGAGTGACGACTACAAAGACAAAGCAGGTGGAAACCAGCAGAAGCTTCCATTGGAGTGTATTGACTGTCATGTATGTAATCACATACCCTATAATGGGTGTTTTCAGTCTTCATTAGAAGATGCTGCTGTAGTAATTCTTTATAAACCGCCACTTTGCTGATCCAGCCCACAACGCAGGGACTGAGTACAGTGGTTAGTTCCTGCATGTCACGCTCTAGATTGTCTGTATCTCCATGGCGGTCATCCATAACGGATCAAAGGCAGGTAGGTCCAATTATTGCGCGGCCCCAGTTGCCTACTTCCTCAACCGATCGTCTCAGAACACGATGATATCAATGGAGCAGTCTTGAGTCACTCGCCGTCGCCCTTTCCTTGATGTTTCCTGCTATTGCAATTCTTTACAATATCTTGAAAACTTATCGCCCCTTTGCCGCTTCCAAAACAGCTTACAAACATGATTGCCCCTCATAATTAAAAGATTTCATCAAGGTACCGGGGAACATAAGTAGGTCTCGTTCCAGACCGTGCTATGTACCTGTGCGTTTTAGACAAGTCACCTACTTTAGCCTTCCTCTCACCCGTGGCATTTACTGCTGTGTACACGCTCAATTGGCTTTTATCCTTCTGTAACGCTCACGAGTCAGTTAACGGGTATGTAACTGTCCGGAGTCAATAACCAGGAAACGGCAGTAGCCACATTTAATATGCCCAACAAAGTCAACATTCGAGATTGCACAGGCGAAATTATTATCATATGTTAGAGATCGCAAACGTCTCATGTTTCTGTCGTTTCAAAGTGAGAGGCCGTGATGTGATTGGCTTTTATCATGGTCATGATGCTACCCTGAAGTGTTAAATGCTGCAACCAATGACAAGCTCTGTTATAGTTCAGAACTCATGATAGAAGTATACAGGTCCAGTCGGCCTCTGCCATCACCACAAACAAACTTGGTTTAAACAATTATCGCTTTTCCTGTAGTGATTTCACTCGTCCTTCTCAAACGCATCATTGAGATATGTCACAAACATATCCCTCAACCTGGACGATTTCATATCACCCACAGCCTCTAGCCCAATACCCCCTCTATTCAAACCCATGAATGCCCTTCTCAACCTCTGCAATTGCGGTAGACCAACCTTCTTTCCGGCTGGCAGGCATATCGTAAGCTCGTTAGAACCAGACGGTATTCGCACCTCGTCAACATCGTCGCCCTCACGCTGCGCCTCCACTATGCGTTTTACAACATCTGATGTTTCGCGGTCCAATAGGTACAAATAGTCGCCGCTTTCTTCTCGTCCGCGCTGTATAGTTGCTTGGTTTGGGCGAACAACCTTGCGGGCCTCGCCTGCTATTGTATCCCAGAGGTCAGAGAAGACCTTTGTGGCTTGAGCTTCGTCGTCTTCCCAGATGAGGGTGAAGAGTGGACTATCCCATCGTGTCATTGGGTTGGGCTCTTCGTATCGAAACACCAGGTTATCCCAGTTATCGGGCTCGTAGGACTCAGTAGAATCAACCGGCGCATTGTCGGAATCTGTGGCTACGGGTACTGCCTCTTCACTTCCTGCAGTGTTACTCGAATCTGCCTCCTTCTTTTTTATTCTAGTCTCGTTGACTTCTCGTGCCTTGTCTACCGAGCAACCAATCTGCAATATGCAGCTAGGCGTGCGCACAGCTTTAGATTCGCAGTGGAGTTGATATCGCCAACCCTTGATGTAATTGAGACCGTCTAGGATCACAATGTCCTTATCGCTAAGTACGCGCTTGACAGCGCCGTAGATGGCGGCGCGGGCATCTTTCTCAGAGGCATTCGCAGATCGGGTGTGTGCGCGGACTTTGTCGGGGGACAGGTCGTAGACGGTACGGGAGATGGAGAGAGATTCGTCAGAGATGAGATGTAGACGGTACTTCGTATCGACTATACGGTTGGAGAGGTATTCGTGTAGTTGCTTTGCGCGCGTCGACTTGCCAGAGGTGGGCAGTCCAGAGACGATGATGAGCTGGTGGGTATATTAGATGAGGGGCAGTGTGTACGATACGGGGGACATACAGGCATCGTCTTGGTTTAGGTAGAATTCCCAAGGACACAAACAAAAGATCTTTGAGTAACAGTGAAATAATACACGATTTCGAGGTCTCTTACGGCGTTGCCGAAGTATGAGCGTCTAGTAGAAAATATTGAAGTTGTTCATTGGAGAATTTTTGGAAAGATTCGACGTCACTGGGGTGCTTCGTGTGTGGGGTTGAGTTAGTTCCCCCTCATGGGCCTCTGAATAAGAATAGTGGCAGGGGAACCAAACTTTAAGGTTGATACCAATAGAAGGTAAATGTCCACAGGTTCAATAGAAATGCTCTATAATCTCACATGCATCGAAACCAAATTGATAAGGGAGGGTCTCTTCGCTCTCGTTTAGGCCATTAAAGGCTGAGCTTTGTCTTTCACGGAAGACGGCACTCGAATCGACAGCCCTATAAGGGAAAGTGAAAAAAGGTTATACACAGCCACGCGCTGAACTCTGGCGATTCCATTCGAGCAGATCTAACGCTAAACCAGATCTGGCATACCATTCGACATTTCGCATTCTCTTCCCTCTCATCATCTCGCATTACCAGGCGTCAAGGTTGATTTTTTGGTGAAGTGGCTCTTGATGCAACGTTAGAATCACATCTCTTTTTCGGGAAAGCCACTCGAGCTTCCCATATTGCTGTGGAGATGTACTGAGGCTATGTCGATGCCGCTCTGCCGACTATACGGCGATTCTTCTGTTCAGCTGAAGATCCAAGATGGTGTTGAAATGTATAAAGATGATGTTGTCTCTCGAGTTGAAGAGATGTTCAGATTAGATCAACATATCAATCAATAACGATACAAACATCTCTCTTCGTCTCATCACTCTAAACTATCGACTACATTTATACCACTTATACGACTCACCTTAACATCCATACATCCATTCAATATGGCTCGCTCTCTTGGTGCCCACGACGATATCGCTATCGCTGAGATCGTGGTCTACACATTTATCCTGTTTGGTGCCCTCTTTCTCTGTAAAACTCATGGCTTCGCTCGAAACGCTGGGTGGTTTTACATCATCATCCTCTCTCTCGCCCGACTGATTGGCTCATCCATGCTTCTCGCTACTATCAACGACCCTAACAACACAAACCTCTACATTGGCTGGATCGTTCTCAACGGTCTCGGTCTTGGTCCATTGATCCTTATTCTGCTGGGTCTACTTGATCGTCTCTTCAACACTATCAAGAGCCAAGGAGGCACTGGCATCAATGCTCTCTACCAGCGTGCTGTGCATCTACTGATGCTTGCTGCTGTCATTCTTATCTCTGTTGGCGGTGCCAGCTCCAGCTATACTCTCGACGGTGCATCGCCCACCATCAAGTATAGTACCGAGAGCAAGATCGGTGTTTCCCTTATGATTGTTGTTCTTATTCTGGTTATCGGCCAGTTCCTTCTCGCTCTTCGCAACCAGTCGTACATCGTTGATGGCGAGCGTCGAATCCTCATCGCCGTTGGTGCTTCTATGCCCTTTGTTACCGTCCGACTTGCCTACACCTGCACTCTCATTCTGGGTGGCCACAGGCAGGACGTCTGGATTTACCTTGGTGCTGGTGTCATTATGGAGATCATCGTGGCCATCATCTGCGAGGCCGTTGGCTTTACCCTCCACAAGGTTCCCAAGCCTATCGTGAATGAAGAGGCAGCCAACAAGGCCACTTCTGGGGCATAAGATGGGTTCACAATCCAAAAGCACAAGGAGCAGACTTATGGCATGTGTACAAGCGTGGTTTTAATTTACGAATGGTTTGGGGTATAGAGGAGTCTCGGTTCAGTAGCGACTTGGTTCTTTCTCATTTAGTTGTCAATCAATAATGACATTGTATTTCAAACAAACACTTTCGTCTTTAAACGTGTAACATGTCGCATACATCATCTAAATCGTCTTACTTATCGAGAATGCCTGGCCAGATATAACAATCATCAACACAAAGTATTGGTCTTTCCAACCCCACAAAATCAGGGTATAAACGCGTCAAACAGGCAATTCAAGAATGCTTCCCAGAAACAGTAACCAGTAAGAATACTTCCAAGTCTTACATGACGGTACAGCACATCTTCTCCAGCTTCTTGAAAATGACTGTAACAAGATCGTCGTTCTGCTCCTCTGGCTGGTGATGCTGTTGTCCACCGTGGTGCTGCTGTCCACCAGGGTAACCGCCATGACCTCCAGAGTGCGAGGGTGGAGCAGGCTCTCCTCCCTGGAGGTTGATGATTATCCTTCCGGTGTTGTCCTCGTCTGTCTGGTACCGCAGCCCGAGCTCCTGGCACAGCTCTTCGACCTTGGGCTTGAGCTTCCGGACACCACCGGCAGAGTGGTGTCCCTTGCCGACGATGGCGTACAGATGTGTCTGGCCATTGGCCTGGTCAGAACGAATGCGCTCTTCGAGTATTCTCTCAGCCTCCTCGACGTAGAGGCCGTGGAGATCGATAGAGTCGGCCTCTACGCGTCCAGAGGCATTGTTCTCCCGGAAGATGAATTCGGAGGCTTGTTGGTTGTAGTCGTCCATGCGCGCGGCGTGGGCCTTGCCCTGGTTGGAGAGCTCCTTTGCGCCAGCTCCATCTCCATCTTCATAGGCTTGACGTGACTAGACAAAAGGTCAGCTACAATTTGTTCTTGTGCCATGCATAGACAGACACCTTGATAGGCGCTGATAGAATGTGACGTACGCGAGCAAAGCAGTCGTTACGCTTCTCTGCCTCGGCTCGCGCCAGGTCTCTCAATCGGTCGTACTCTTGCTCAATATTATCGTCATCATGGGCAAAGGCTAAAGGTAACCCGTTGTCAGCGTTTAACGTTCCTCGAAAGCTCGTTGCGGATTGAATTGTTGCGTTCCCGCTTCCGGCGCAAACCAGGACCAGTTCCGTGCCACAAGTTTAGTGTAGACGTACCGCGACCGCCCAGACGTTGCATAGGAATAGACATTTTGGGAGGGAATTGATTAAATTCCAGTTGATTATGCTGATAACGATGGTGTTTGTTTTATGTCCAAAAGAGTATAATGCATTCACTGTTGCCCGTTGCTTCTAGGCGTTGTCGGTGTCAAAACCAAGGTTGAAGCTTTGACTGACTGATGTTGTGTTGGCGACCTGCATGTGTTGTCAATAGTGGGCGCTGCCAAGGTTAGTGTGTACAGACAAGTACTACTTGTGCCAAGGCAGGCATATGAGGTATCTAGTTTGAATGCTTTTCCTGCGCTATAATTCTTCTTTTCTCTTTTCTCTCTAGATCCCTTTCATCTAATTACTATAAAATACCTACTGTGAGGCCTCTTTGGGGTGCTACAAAATATTGATATCATTCTAGACTTGAGTAGACTCAATAGTAAATATCCGCAAGCACTAGTTACACCAGACTTCGAATAATCACTTTGCCATCGCATCATAAATACCCGAATTGATCTCAGTGTAAATACTAAAGAGAAGTTGGAATAGGTAGATATTGACAACTTGAGGAGTTTGAGAGGCACCTCAACTATCGTACGATAAATCAAATGGGCTACCCTTGATCTGGCAAATGCAGGTACGGATAAGTCAGCCACAATAAAAATTCCGTGCCCCTCGTGGATTGTTGATCGATCAACCACAGACAGATCATGCAACCATCACAGGACGCTCTCAGCTCCAATACCCTACAGCAATGGTTAGACTTGAAACTACAACTCAGTTTTTATCGTAACTCATAAACAACTACAAACAAGTGTTTATTCAACTTATAAGCCACCAGATCTGAGGCTGGGACACCGGAGCAAGCCCGCCATACAGAAGGGTGAACTCTATTGAGCCACAGCAAAGACTTGAAGTCTATCAGCAATCAACTTTTAATTGTCGGTCCCAGGACAAGCCTCCATTCTTAACATCACTTCTGCATAGAAACATACTTTCGAGCTTCTCACACAAGGTCGCTATTCCCGGTGAATCGGCAGTTGGTTGTTGGCCTGCGTCGTGTTTGCTCAACAGCATTGCAGTTGGTGGATAAAGATCCCATTGACACGAGCCAACTGAACCTTGAAACTGGAACTTTTACTCGACATTCCCAGGCAATCCAATTGTTTGGTCTGTCTTCAATTGTCGATTTGCCGCGAGGTATCGTGGCTGGCTCGGGTACTCCTTGCTGGACTTTATGTTCGAAAGACAACTCAACCGCCTCAGCCGCCTCAGCCGCCTCCGTCTCGGAGCAATCTTGATTGTTCTGGCTTGGATGATTCGGGATTTGTAATACATGTAAGCCCTCACTTGGGTATGTACATCGTCGAGAAAACGCTGAATCCTTGTTGATATGTCTGTACCCAAGAACTCACACTTGTGAACATGGGGTCATTGACATGTCAGGACAGCATCACCAATGCAGGAACGTCCAGACCTAATGTTACATCGAAAGGGAACGAGGCAGGGATAAAGAATACGGAGGCTCACGCAATACTATGTAATTTGTCCGTTGAAGATGATGCCATCAAATGTTACTTTATGGGAACCCATACCTGAACTCACTAGATGACATGCAGGCCAAGCAATAGCAGATCAAAAGCGGAACTGCTTGCCTGCCATGTGCTCTCCCAGTACCTGTTTGAGAAAAAACTCGAGTCTAGACAGCATCGACTCCACTCAAATGAAATGACTGAGATTGAGTGGCTTCGGTTGTCGTGAAATTGCTTTATTTTATCGCGAAATTTGGGGTCTGAGAGCTTCATCTACTAGCAAGGATGGGTCAGATGGGCTCGTTCCTGTTTGGTACTGAAGAGTATCGTACTGTACATACGTCAAACGGTTTGGGGGTGCATGCACTATCATATATTGGCTACACTAGGCGTAGCATAACGAAACGTTCGTGAAAATGACCATCATCATTTGTGTGGTTTTCCAATCACAAGTGCCTTGAACCTGGGAGTTCAGAACAAGGATACAGCAACCAGTTGCTCAGTTTCTTGACAAAGATCTGAGACCGGGATCTTAGCGAGAGAATTACCGATTGCGAGAAACAAGTAGTAGAAAATAGACGAATGGTTAACTACTATTGGATTCTGGCCGATATAGACAGCACATGGCCATTAAGGGCTCGTTACAAATGGACAAGACATCCAACACCTGCCAAACTGATACAAGCACCAACGAGTGGCCTCGGCTCCTGGGGATCCTCGGTATGCTGTGTGCTAGGTGTGCTCTACTACACATTGACTCTAGTAGCGGGCGACATCGTTGTGGCGTTCATCTACTGGGTTCGCGACTCGTTCTACCCGTCAAAAGACCAATGAGCAGCCCGTCCGCTGTGCTTGACTCAGTCACGAGGAGGTTATTTACAAGCCTCTTATTAGCAGGAGTTGTATCCGCAGCATACTGTACGGGAATGCTTAACCGAGTGTTTAGCTGTCCGCACATACAGAGTAGATACATCTAGCTCTTATCGGATTTTGAGTGAGAGAGTGTTTCTAGCTTGCCGATCGTGATAGTGAACTGTATGCAACGGAAGCTATGGAAGCAAGGAGGAAGCTTCTGAAATGACAGCCAATCTACCACTGCACCGTATCTAAGCAACGGGAACGCCCAGACCTCTTTAACAACGGCAAGTGCTCTTGGCTTGCCCATTGACCTCCCAGATGTTGAACAGCTTCGTCAGTGATCGACATGTTTTGGCAGTCAAAATCCGAGCTGACACTTTTGCCCTCACTTCCAATGACTAGATAGATGCCACTAGTGGTAGATCTGGTGTTCAAACCGTGACGCTGCGTACGTATTGGAGCACAATGTACTTGTTTCCACTATTTCCGATGATTCTTTGGCCGTTTGGCCGAGTTATTGCAGTTGGTGAAGAGGATCAATTGGTGTCGCGAATGAAATGCGTAGCACAACAATGTGTTGGTGTAGCGTGTTCCTATTGATGTCGTCAGCCGCAACACATAGTCGTCCTCACTTGATCGCCCCGCGTATAGCGACGAATCCAACGATAAAATAAGAAAGACTTGGCAGTTTGTCATAAGATTCATGTATTTTCTAGCTCTAGTTCCTGTTGACGCTAGCAAGTGTCAGAGCGTGGACAATCTGAGTAGACCAAGATTGGAGTTCGTGTCGGACCGCTCTGATGGTAAGGGGAAAAAGCAATGAAGCAGGGATAACGGCACAAGCAACTCTTTCTAGATGTCTTCTACGGATACAACTGTGTATTGCAGTACAGTGCCGTGTTGAGTTGTGAATCGAAGGGGACCCCTGATAAATCTCGGGCGATCCCCCTTTCGTAGCGCCTGCGATGACCCTGACCCCAGTCAGGAGACAAGGAGCTTGACGGTATTAAGTGGCCCTGGTGGAGCAGACCATGATGACTCCAGGTATCATGAGAAAACGGGTTGACTATGTATGAGTTTGGTTCACTCTAAGTGAGTGCACAGAACAGAACGGTACCGCAGTGCGGAGAATATGGGTACTCAGTTACCGTAGGATACTGGGAAGCGGACGATAATAGAATAAAGCCGATTCGATTCGTTTGAGCGGGACGGGAAGTACCTCGATGCAATAAGCCGACTTGTCTCGTGCGTGCTCTACATCACACATAATAGGTAGGTAGAGAACAGTTGGGGACGATACAGGTGGGGTATTGTATGTTAATGCTATAAACAAGTAATGAAACCTATAGCAATCAGCAAATGAGGGTGAAGAGCCGAGAGATGAAACATCTATAAGTGTGTAGTCTATATTATAGATGTTTGTCGATACCTACTGCAATGCGTCTGTAGACTGACGAACGGGCCCACCAGTCAAAACAAATGGAAGATGATGCAAGGTACAGAGTACAGCGTACCATTCATAAGATTTGTATAGATACATACCGTGGGTACAGTGTTGCAGATATTGCATCAAGAGTGGGCCAATCGCAACATCAAATATCCAGCAGGAACATTCATCCATGTCAATATTTCCGGAGCTCCAGATCGCTCATATATTAACAACGCACGCGGTGCTGGTCAACTTGTGATGGGTCGACGTTTCGGATCAAGTTCCCGGATTGAGCTGTGTTGAGTGATTGGCCATGGGTGTTGTAGGTCGAATCAAAGTCGGATCCGAGCCGAAATTATTGAAAAAGTCTGGAGACTGGGACTCTGAGATAACTTCTGCAACTCCAAACATCCAGTTCAAAGCCACAGTCCCACTTGCCAGGTCCTGGTTCTGTATGAAGGACGTTTCAAGCCGACTGCACAACAGACTTTGCTTTGTTAAATGTCATGCATCAGTTCTTCTCAAACCAACAGAAAACAGCTAGACAACCAGTATATTGAGGAGCTGCATATCAAAGAGCTGTCACGAATTTAACTCCATGGTTCGATGTTGAGTACCCCTTATTCTGTAGATCGGCTGGCTATTTCTCCATATGTACAATGTACATAGTTCCTTGGAGCTTGACTGTGATGTACTTCATATCCAGACAACATGTTCGCTCTTTGACAGTAAGGCTGTTCTCACGACGCATGGCATCTTCATTGAGCAAACTGTTCGGAAGACAACTATTATCCCGATTTTAATCGACTTTTGCTTTTGTCATTTTGAGGGCTTTGCACGATGACGTTTTTGAACATGACGACTCACTTTGGAGACATTCACTGATATGGTTTCTTCTCTTGAATCATGCGATTGCTCGTGGTTTGGCTTTCGATGATCATCCCGTCCGGCAGGGACGCTATACCCCAGCAGGCGACGATGATCCACCAGGTTCTGAAAGGCTAATCAAGTCGTTCTGCAAGCGGATGGGTTAAAACAAGGTGAAGAAACCACTGAAGCAAAACCTAGGACAAGTACTGTCTTTGGTTTGATTAATTAACGGATGCTTTTCCAATTCCGCAACAGCGCTTCGTTAAGCAGCTACTGAGACGAGTTCATTAATGCCCGCTTGTCGTCTGAGGCTATGTTACGGTACCGTAGCATTGCCATGCCCATCTCACA